CATCTAGTCTTTAAACCTTATAAAGGTTTGGGATTTGTAAGCAATGAAAATTGGGATTTGTAAGCAATGAAATTATATATTTATTGTACAAGGATACTTACTTTGAATGATCTATTTTTTAAATTTGAAATTTCTAAGTTACCATCTAGGGTAATTATGAATGGTTAACAATGATTAAATAGTTAAAGCTTAAATATTTATTTATTTATTTATTTATTTATTTATTTTTATAATTTATTATATATTTTATTTTATTTTATTTATTTATTATTTTTTTTTAAATATATTTTTATTGATTTTTTACAGAGAGGAAGGGAGAGAGATAGAGAGCTAGAAACGTCGATGAGAGAGAAACACCGACCAGCTGCCTCTTGCACACCCCCTACTGGGGATGTGCCCGCAACCAACATACATGCCTCTGACCGGAATTGAACCTGGGACCTTCCAGTCCGCAGACCGACGCTCTACCACTGAGCCAAACCGGTTTCGGCTAAAGCTTAAATATTTAAATGTGGACTCCTATCATTCATTACACCTTTCATCCCACAGTGAAAGTTTCATAAAGATTGAGTGTCTTTGTCTAGCATTAATTGCCTTTTACTTTTTCTCCTCTTCTTTTAAAAATCTTTCATTGATTGATTTGAGAGAGAAAAACATTGATTTGTTGTTTTACTTGTTTATGCATTCATTGGATGTGACTGGGGATCCAACCCGCAACCTTGGTGTATCAGGATGATGTTGTAACCAACTGAGTTACTTGGCCATGGCTAAAAAATATATATGTTTTCTATTGATTTCAGAGAGGAAGAAAGAGATAGAAACATCAATGATGAAAGAGAATCATTGATCGGCTGCCTCCTGCATGTCCCCTACTTGGGATTGAGCAAGCTCCACAACCCGGGCATGTGCCCTGACTGGGAATCAAACTGTGATCTGGTAAATAGGTCGGTGCTCAACCACTGAGCCACACTGGTTGGGCTAAAAATATATTCTCAAAAGGACTGGTTTCTCTAGAAATTAATGCAGGTATATTTCTTTATACTTTGATTGCCTTAGCCACTGAGCCTTTCCTGACAGCAAAGAGGAGCTTAGTATGATAAAATACAAGTATGCGCTATTTAAGATCTAAGCATTTCTAATATAGACTACAGCCAACACCCAAAGAAAAATCCTGTGATACATTGCAAGGTGAAACAGAAATTATCTTTAGATCACTTTCTGTTCTGAATGGTTTTCCTTCCTCTCCTCACTTTCTACCCTCCCGCCTGGTCCCCTGTTGTAAACCCACTGGTGCGTGAATGTGAAATACAAGTCTTATTTTAGAAGAAGTTTTATGAAATGATGTAATGAAACCCTTTGGTAAGTGGTCCTGACTTGTGTTCTCAACTTGCCTTTGGTTACTTTAGATTGAAGTTTATAAATGAGAACTGTGATTTTGGACAAACTTTTCTAGTGATCTTTACAGTAATAAGTTCCCCATTAGACAATAGTTGTTTGTCTTATGACTTGTTGTTGGTAAAGCTATCCCCAAGGGGTTGAGAAATTCCTGTTTAGAAAAGTCCAGAAAGTCTTTGGTGACTTACTGTTTCATTTTCTTTTTCTTTCCTCTTCAGTTGTAGAAAACAGTATCACACTTTTCCTTCATATGCTAACATTTGCTATCTTCTAACCTAAATTTAGCAAACGCCTTGAGATGAATTAAGCCCTATATCATACCCTAAGACAGCCACTATATGGAATGTATTGTTTTCTCTCCTATGCACCCAGAATGTACTTGGCACTTAAATTGTTCAAATCACTTCTGTGTTCTGGGGTTCAATGAAAGTGGTTATTGACTCTCAGGCTTAGGATTATTCCGTAGATAAGAAATACTTTAGTTAGGATGGAGGCCCTGGCCAGGTAGCTCAGTTGGTTAAAGCATCATCCCAATAAGCCAAGGATGAGGGTTTGTTACCAGGTCAGGGCACATACAGGAATCAACTAATGAATTTATAAATAAGTGTAATAATAAATTAATGTTTCTCTCTGCCTTTCTCTCCCCTCTCCCCTCAATTTTTTTTTAAATAATAAAATGAGGTTCTTTAGATTGTAATTTGAAAAATCAGAATTGAGATTGTGAAATAAAGTTAGATCTTTTACATTTTTTCCCAGTAAAACAATTACCGCAAAGCTACTTGGCAGTGGTTTTCCTAGACAATTTGGCTAGTGCTCTCTTAGAGATATTCTCTTGTTATGAAGAGCATTTGGTCTGATTGCTCTGTGGTCCCTGTTAGTTAAATATGGTTTGTAGCTAAGCAGACATTAAGGAAATCACTATCTGACTCTTTGCCCATGTCCTCCTCAAAAATGCTGCCTACTCTTTGGCTTTAATTTATAACTATTAAAAAAATGTGTTTTTTTTTTAATATAACTTTTTTTATACTAGAAGCCCGATGCATGAAATTTGTGCACCAGGGGTCACTCAATCCGGCCTGTGCCCTCTCACAGTCTGGGAGCCTTTGGGGGATGTTCAACTGATGGCTTAGGCCTGCTCCCCACAGAGCTGGCCTAAGCCAGCAGTCAGTCATCCTTAGTGCTGCCGCAGAGGCAGGAGAGGCTCCTGCCACCTGCTGCACTCACCAGCTATGAGCCCGGCTCAGGGCTTCTGGCTGAATGGTGCTCCCCCTGTGGAACTGCATTGACTACCAGGGGGCAACTCCTGTATTGAGCATCTGCCCCCTGATGGTCAGTGTATATCATAGCGATCTGTCATTCTGAATTTGGTTGATTTGCATATTAGCCCTTTATTATATAGGATATATGATAACTATTTCATATATATATTAGCATATATATATATAAGCATATGTGTATATATATATATAATAGCTATTACAGTGACTAGACTGAGAAGTAGAACATAACATGAGTCACTTTTGGTGCTTTAATTTTATGGAAAAAACTATTAGCTAGTTTCTGATTTAAGAAATAGCACAATTACTCTTCTATTTACCAAAACCCCAACTCAAATTAAAACAACAGCAAAAACCCTCTGAATTATGGACTAAAAATGAATTGGAGTACTTTCAGTAACTTGTAATTTTTAAAAAAATATATTTTATTGATTTTTTACAGAGAGGAAGGGAGAGAGATAGAGAGCTAGAAACATCGATGAGAGAGAAACATTGACCAGCTGCCTCCTGCACACCCCCAACCGGGGATGTGCCCGCAACCAATGTACTTGCCCCTGACCGGAATCGTACCTGGGACCTTTCAGTCTGCAGACCGATGCTCTACCACTGAGCCATACCGGTTTCGGCTGTAATTTGTTAATAGTACTATTATATTAGTTTGAAAATGCAAATATTCATGCATGATTCCAATGTTAATCTAGAACTGATCAGATATTACGGGATGCTGCTTTGTTGTTTTACCTTAGAACTTCAGGAAGCAGACTGTGAGGGCTCTATGTTTGTATTAAGATAAGCAAATTTATAATAACACTGGAGAATATTTTGAAAAATAAATGTCTATTTCTTTAAATCCTTTGTTAGAAGAACTACAGTTTTTTGGTTACATAAGAGCAGCAGTGTCCAACAGAAGTGGAATGCAAGCAACATATGTAATTCTGAAGTTGTTAATAGCTATATTAAGAGAAATAAAAAGAAATGGGTGAAATTCATTTTAATAACATATTTTAGTTTCCCCAATATATCCAAAATATTATCAATTCAATACCTATGAGATATTTTACTTTATTTAAAGTGTATTTTATACTTAAAGCACATCTCAGTTTGAACCAGCCACATTTCACATGTTCAATAGCCACACATGGGAAGTGGCTGCCTTATTTCATTACATTCGAATTGCAAGTAAAATCTACATAAATTGGCGTGTTAGACAGATTTCTATGCAGATCAGATCCTTGGAAACATAAGGCAGATCCCTATACTTTTAGCCTAGGAAGCATATTTTAACTTGGCTCCAATGTGAATGCTGGAAGAGAGTTCTAGTGACCTTTGATTTCTTGTTGAGGTAATACACACCATTGTTACAGTGCTTCAGCATGTAACATGTGGCCTGCTCTGAGAAATAAATCAATCAAGAAGTCCAGTTAAGTATATATGTTTGTATGTATTCAGTCTTTCCTTAAATGTCTTTACTATCCCAGAGAACCATCTCAATATACTTTGATCTGAACATTCCTTAGTCTTTGGCTATTACTTGCTGTTACTTTCACAATTTCTCAAGACTACTTAGTCAGTATTGCTATTCAGAAAGAGGACTAAAGATGGTCAGCCAGATTGGTTTGCCATAACTGAACTTTCCCCTGCGGTATTCACTAACCTGAGGACAACATATATGCTCGGTATTTAGCTTCTCTTCTCTCTCATTTCAGACTGAGGAATTTATAAGACAAAATTACTTTTTGTTGAGTGGGAGAATCCCAATTAGATCCTTGCTTATACTCTTAAACTTTAGTCTTGGAATTAGCTCTCTGTCCTCCCTCAACATCCACAACCCACATTTTGGTCTTAGTTCAGGTTTACTGTCTCTACCTCCCAGTTCACTTAAAAGGGGTATAGGGTAGAAAGAAAGGAACTGACACCTGTTGAGCATCTGTTATAAGCTAGGCACTGAGCTGGGTGCTTAGAAATATTATTTCAATAGCCCTGAGGGGAGGGAATTATGATATTTATTTTATAGATGAGGAAATGGAATTCTGGAAGTAATTTTTCAACTTCACATTCCTCAGGTGGATGATTATTGAACTTGGCACCATGCCCATATTATCCTCTTGTTTAGAAGAAGCTGTGATGTGGTTCCTTAAGTAGAGATTGTGAATGTGAATATGTTAGGGAGACATGCCAGGATCCTTTCCAAAGTATCTTTTATCCCTAATCAGAGACCTGATGCCTGTGTTGGGTACATAGGGTATTTCTAGATTGTTTATTCTACTGGGGCTTGTAGTAACCACATGAACACTTTGCTTTACAGGTGAGACCCCTGATTCCAGCAGGATGGCCCAATGGAATCAGCTACAGCAGCTCGACACACGGTACCTGGAGCAGCTTCACCAGCTGTACAGTGACAGCTTCCCAATGGAGCTGCGGCAGTTCCTGGCCCCTTGGATTGAAAGTCAAGATTGGTAAGTCCTGCCCAGCAAGTCTGGCTCAGAGGTTGAGTGACAACCTGTGAACCTGGAGGACCCTGGTTCTGTTCCTGGTCAGGGCATATGTCCAGGTTGTGGGCTCATTTTCCAGTAGGGAGTGTGTAGGAGGCAGCCAATCAATGATTCTCTCTCATCATTGATGTTTCTATCTCTCTCTCTCTCCCTTCCTCTCTGAAATCAATAAAAATATATTTAAAAAAAAGAATGGTAAGTTCTTCTTGAGAAACTCCCAAATTGTTAGGTTTTGATTTGCATCAAGAAGTAAGATTGTATCTCTGTTCTATTTCTTTGAAAAATGTATGAGTACAGGTGATGAGGTAAAAGAGATAAGGAGGTAAAGAGGTACTCTTAGTCTTGTATAAACATTTTCTCTATTAAAACACACACCAGCAACTGACTCTTGGCACATCAGCCTGCTAGCTGGTAGAAGTTTTTAGGACTGATTTGGATCTCACTGACTTGTTGAGATCCTCTATATGTTTTTTCGCTTCAGAGACACACTGCAAATATTTCTTTGCCTGAATGAGAATTTTGTCATGGGTAGAAGTTTGGGTCCTTGCTTCTCATTCTTCTTTCATTAAAGGAGAGAGACACAGAGTAAGAGAAATAGACTTGTATATAGAGGAAATAATGGCACAGAATTCCAACAACTGTTTCACTTTAAGGTGTTTAGAGTCACCTATTAATTTTGGTTTAATTCAGGCCTATGACCTCACTTTCCCAGAATTTGACAAAGTGCCAGGGAGGTGATTTAGAGCTATTGGAGATAGGCTGTTCTACCCCACCCTGGGATTGCTTATTTGTTACTAATAATCTGACCACAGAGCTGACTGAGAATTTAAAGCAAAAAGCTTATCAGTCCACTTCACTCAAATATTTTATAAGTATAGACTACAACATGGTTAATAGAATCTAGAATAATTATTTATAATTATTAAATTGCTGATATTTATTGTTGCTGATCAAGATAAATCTAAAATGATGAGTGGGTTAAAGTATTGGTTTTGCCTTTTTTTTCCTCCTTTGCCTTTGTTTTTTTCCTCATTGATGGTGATCTGTGTGTATGTGTGTGTAGGTTTCAGAATCATTCCTTATTATTCTTTCTTTTCCTAGGGCTTATGCAGCCAGCAAAGAATCACATGCCACTTTGGTGTTTCATAATCTCCTGGGTGAGATTGACCAGCAGTACAGCCGCTTCCTACAAGAATCAAATGTTCTCTATCAGCACAATCTGCGAAGAATCAAGCAGTTCCTTCAGGTGTGATGAGAAACTGAACCAGACAAGGGTTTTAGATTTCTTTTCTGCCAGTATCTTTTCTCAGTTGGCTAAATAATGAGAACCTATCTTGTACTTTAAGTATAAGGAGAAGTAATTCGCCCTTTCTCAAATCTCAGTATGCAAACCCATGACCATCATTCACTTCTTTAGTTAGTTGAAGTAATAACCTGATTGTTATGTTAATATTATATTAACATGTTAATAACGATTGTAAGCAGGTCCCCTCATAGGAAGATGACTTACTTACTCATTCATTCCTTACCCCAGGCCATGCTTAGAGATAGAGAAAGAGAAACATACATAGTTTGCCTTCATACCTGCTCCCTTGCCCCAACTGGGGATTGAACCCGTAACCTAGGTATGTGCCCTGACTGAAAATCACACTGACAAAACCCTTCCATGCACAGAATGGTACTCAACCAACTGAGCTACTCTGGCTAGCCGGACAGCTCTTACTTTCAAATGTTAAAGGTTTGGCCATAATTGGATGCTCCTGGACAGAGTGCATCACTTCCCTATAAGACCAGATAACGGATTGTCCCAACAATCAGGTGTGCCTCCTCTCTCAGTAGTACAGCTCATCATGACTGCCTCGCTTCTCTTCTCCCGTCATCTCTCGCTGACTGCAGCCAGGCCTTGAGGCCTTTGTGCCGTTTCATGTAGTAAATGTAACGCTCCATTTATGAGGAGTTTTGCTTTAAGTCAGCAAAGTTTGGTCCACATTTCCTCGGTCTACTGCTGCTTTTCATTCTCCTTCTCTCCTACTTATAGAGCAGGTATCTTGAGAAGCCTATGGAGATCGCCCGAATTGTGGCCCGGTGCCTGTGGGAAGAGTCCCGCCTGCTCCAAACTGCAGCCACTGCAGCCCAGGTGAGACCTGGGGGAAACGGCGCTAGTGAAGATGTGCTTCCCTTGTGTACAAAGATGTGCTTGCTGTTATGGGGTCATTAGGGTGTACACTGCCCTCTAGGGTAGAAGTGGGTGTTAATTAACTGGGTGTTTTGGGCTTGATCACCACAGCTTTTACGTGGTCTTTTTATTTATTTATTTTTTAATCAGAAGATACTCTATTATTTTGACAAAACTTGTAATTTTTAAGTTTCATGTACTATTTGACATTTTTAAGGTACCAATTTCCCCTTATATCCCAAAATACTATCTCTTGACATGGCATTTCATCCCTGGTTATTTATTGTCCCACAGAAATGTTATTGTATGCTACATACATTTAAATAGGCATTCAAAACCTCCTATCATCAGTTGTGCTGAAATTTTTTACATGCTCACCTAGAATGAGCTTTAGAAGGTAGGGACCATGTCTTAGCTCAACATGTGGTCTCCTAGTGCAATACACAGAGTTGGTTTATAGGGTGACCTAGAGGTAAAAAGCCAAGGACAATGGTAAAACTATGCCAGAGCTTCCTGGACGCCACCAGACAGCACCCGGAGAGTTCTGGCCTCTGCAGAACTGCCCGTTTCAACGCCTGGCATGCTGCCTCTGTTTCCCTTTCTGTTGCAATGTCTGTAGCATCTCAGGCCAAACAGGAAGGGTAGTGGGGAGGGATGAAGACTGGACAGAGGTATTTCTCTCTCCATATTTCCTGCATTCACATGTATGTTGACTCCCTTCTTTGGTAGCAAGGGGGCCAGGCCAACCACCCCACAGCTGCTGTGGTGACAGAGAAGCAGCAGATGCTGGAGCAGCACCTGCAGGATGTTCGGAAGCGAGTGCAGGTAAAGCAGGTCTGGGGAAAAGACCCCTTTCCTTAGGGATGCTGCCTATGGGTTCTGCCTATATATCTCACTGTGATATTGGCTTTGTTTTTGTTCTTCTCAGAGACTTTCTTTTTCCTCTCCCCAAGGAAGTATTTCCTACCGCTGTGTATTTGTTTGCTTGTTTTAACAGGATCTAGAACAGAAAATGAAAGTGGTAGAGAATCTCCAGGATGACTTTGATTTCAACTATAAAACCCTCAAGAGTCAAGGAGGCAAGTGAATATTTGAGACGTTATAAATCTCCTGTAGAAAGTGAGTTTGTTACCTGAGTTTCAGGACTTATTTGTATTGACTCTGTGTTCAGACTTTGGGGGTGGGTGTCCTTAAGGGAGCCTAGTTACTAAGGAAAGAAGTGTTCCCCCAGGTCAAGGAGTTTTTCCTTCCTCTACAGACATGCAAGATCTGAATGGAAACAACCAGTCAGTGACCAGGCAGAAGATGCAGCAGCTAGAACAGATGCTAACTGCCCTGGACCAGATGCGGCGAGTAAGAGCGTGGGACAACTCCCTCTGTGTGTCTCACACCCTGTGGGATCCCCGGATCTCGTGGCAGAACCTGTCTGGTTTCTAAGTTCCTTCTCTAGAATTGACCACAGCATGTAGTTAGAGATGGTCTGAGGAAATGTTTACTGACTTGTGTTTTGGTTTCCAACCAGAGCATCGTGAGTGAGCTGGCGGGGCTTTTGTCGGCCATGGAGTATGTGCAGAAAACTCTGACGGACGAGGAGCTGGCCGACTGGAAGAGGCGGCAACAGATTGCTTGCATTGGAGGCCCTCCCAACATCTGCTTAGATCGCCTAGAAAACTGGTAAAAGATGAAAGAGAAGTTTTTTCTTCCCTTCTGGAAAGCTGTGCTGAATTATGATCATAGCTGCAGGCCCAAAGCGTTGGTACTGTATCTCAAAGGCGGGGACTTTTTGTCTAGAAAACTCGTAAAAGATGAAAGAGAAGTTTTTCCTTTCCTTCTAGAAAGCTGTGCTACATTATGATCATAGCTGCAGGCCCAAAGCTTTGGTATTACATCTCACAGGTGGGGACTTTTGCATAGTCACATTTAGCTCTAAGAGTTAAAGCTTTCACTTTATTTGGATAATTTTAAAAATGAAAATGTATTTATATTATTATATTTTAAATCTGTTCTATTTTATAATTTAAATAAAGTTTTAGGTTTCATTGTATTTAACAGATTAAATTTTAAACAAGTTTTTTTTTTGTTTTTAATTATTTTTGAGAGTGGAAGAAAGGGAGAGAAAGAGAGAGGGAGAGAAACATTGATCCATTGCCTCTCCCACACACTGTGACTGGGGATCAAATCCACAACGTGGCTATGTACTGTGACTGGGAGGGAATTGAACCCTCCACCTTTGATGTATGGGACGACACTCCAACCAACTGAGCCATACTGGCCAAGGCTAAGACTAAATTTTAAGTTTTAGTTAGTTAAATAATCTAAAATGGTACAAGCTCTTTTTAAGGGGAAAAAGTTCAAATCCAGAAAATTGATAGAGAAGAAAGTATTTTAAAATTGAATTATTCAAAGTTACTACAGTTAAGATTTTTTTTAAAAAAAATATATATTTTATTGATTTTGTACAGAGAGGAAGGGAGAGAGATAGAGAGTTAGAAACATTGATGAGAGAGAGTCATCGATCAGCTGCCTCTTGCACACCCCCTACTGGGGATATGCCCGCAACCAAGGTACATGCCCTTGACCAGAATCGAACCCGGGACCCTTCAATCCCCAAGCCTACGCTCTATCCATTGAGCCAAACCGGTTTCGGCTACAGTTAAGATTTTGGTGACCATCAGTCTAGACAGCTGTTATTGTATATATGCACACAAAAAGATAGAAATCCAAGCGTTTTCACATTAGTGGGTTTGTTCTTTGTATACTTCAAATAATCTGCTCTTTTACACATTCATCTTACAGTGTTTCCCAAACTTCTCTCATGATGAGAATCACCTGCTGGAGTTGTTAAAATACAGATTCCTGAATCCCAACTAAGAAGTGCTAAACTAGAATATTTGGGAACATATAGGTAAAATTGTATACTTAACTTAGTGCTCTGAGAGAAGTTTGGGAAACACTGATTTAACACATCTTTATGAGCACCCTTGAAATGCAAGGCCCAATAATGAATGGGTTGCACCCGCTTCAATAAACTAGGAGAAACTTGACATGATTCGGAGCCCAGATATACAGAGCATAAAGTTAAAAATTCAGGGCAACTCTACATGAGAATATCTGTTCATATCCTCACTAACCCCGAGTTTTGTTAATTTACTGAAAGCAGTTTTAAATGCTTTCTGATCAGGGAACCAAATAGCTTAAGTTCTGGGGATGGGAGAACTTAAGTGCCAGAAGGGAATCAGGGAGCTCAGAAGTCCCACCTCTGCCCCATCTCCCCTGCATCTTTCACCTTCTCTCTTTGAGGTCTTTTAGTCTTTATTAAACTGGTGGTAGACCATCAAGGAGAGACACTAATATTTTCTATTTTTAGGGACAGACTTAATCAAACTTTGTCTCCCTGTGTACTTTTTCTGTGTGCATGTTATCAATATTTTGAAATATAAAGTCATATCCTTTGATCCGTTGAAAGTCAGTGTTGAGAGGGCTCATGGAGATCCTGCAGTTCAGCCCCTTCTCTTCTGCAAGGAGACTTTAGCCCCACAATGGGGAGTTGGCCAAGGTTACACAGATAGTGAAAGGCAGAGCTAACTTAAATCTATCTTCTTAGGTGGTCTTACCTCTTATATTTCCCCAATGTTCACATTTTGGTACAAGGATAAGTTAGGATAAAAAAGTGGTTGCCAAATGTCATATTTCACATTATCCATATGTGGGTTCTATTGCTTGTCCCTATCCAGTGATAACTCTGTTAAATACCCCCTACTAGCATAAGTTTTGACACTTCTTCCTCTGTGTCTCACTCTCTTTGAAATGCAAAACTTTAGGAAAGGGACTATTTTAAGAAGGCAAGATAAATTTCCCCTTTCCTTATTTAATGAAAAATAAATTTCCCCTTCTCACATTTAATGCCGCTGAATTGTACAAATACAGACGGTAAATTTCTTGTTAATGTTTATTTTTCCACAATAAAATTAGTCTCCCTTTCTAATTGTAGGGGATTGCATAGGAGTTTTTACCTATAATACATCCTTCCCCCTCTCATTTACCCATGTACCCTCCCTTAGGTCACTGGTAACTTTCTTATTTTATTGGCAGGATAACCTCATTAGCAGAATCTCAACTTCAGACCCGCCAACAAATTAAGAAACTGGAGGAGTTGCAGCAGAAAGTTTCCTACAAAGGGGACCCCATTGTACAGCACCGGCCAATGCTGGAGGAGAGAATTGTGGAACTCTTTAGAAACTTAATGAAAAGGTAACTTAGAACCCTTGGCCCTTTTCCTCAACACCCCCTCCCCAATTACGTCCTCGCACAAGAAATTGACTCACTTCACAGGCACAGGGTGAAGGCTGGCCCGCTGTGTAGTGTGTGACCTGCTGTTCTCTGCCTCTTTCAGTGCCTTTGTGGTTGAGCGGCAGCCCTGCATGCCCATGCATCCCGACCGGCCACTAGTCATCAAGACCGGTGTCCAGTTTACTACCAAAGTCAGGTGAGCCGAGCACTCCTCTCCTGCGTAGCTGTTTTATTGAGAGACATTCTTAGATGAGAGCAGGGTCGGTATTCAGAGTTGTTCTTCGCAGGCAGCACAGACAGTACTGTGGAGGGTGTGGAATTTGTTGGCGCAACATTGACTTGCTCTTTGTTCCCTCTGTCAAAAGCTAAGGACTGGTCATCTTTTTTAGGTTACTGGGGCATATTTTTATGATTCTAATCCTACACTCTGAGACAACAGCGTCTCTGTTTGCCCTGAAAAAGGGACAAAGTAATACCAGTTCTTCCTGTTCTTTGAGCCTTCTTTTCCCTGAGGATATTAAGGGAAAGAGTAAGGCTTAGTGGTAGAGAAGCTAAGGGGGACCACAGGGCAGATGGGTGGTGGGCCTGCAGAGAAGTGTTATTTTCACACTCAAGTCACACAGGTATGCTGGGGTTTGCCCTTCTGCAGGGAAATTTCCCCTTAAATAGATATTTGGTTTTGTGTTGCATTTCAGGTTTAATAGGAAAAAAAAAACAAAACAAAAAAAAAAACCAGCTGCAGAGAGTGTATTCCTGTAATATTTTTCATGATATGGCTTTTATTATCGTTTGGTGAATCTCTCACAACTTTGTCCAAGTTCTTAGTTCTTAGGCTTTTTTTTTTTTTTTTTTCCCGTAACTTTGGCCTAAAGGGGTGATGCTTAATTTAAGATCAAAGATGGTTCTAACAGGAAGAGGAATTTGGGATTGTCAATTACTCATTTCTTAAAACTTTTTAAAAAAAACTGGATTGTTGTTTTTTGCTCAGACACTTTTTCTCCTTTTTTGAAATAGATTGCTGGTCAAATTCCCCGAGTTAAATTATCAGCTTAAAATTAAAGTGTGCATTGACAAGTAAGTACTTCTTATCTTGGATCTTTTTTCTCTTTTTCAAATGACAGAGAAATGAACACTTTGACAGACAGAACTTAAGAGACTTTATCTCCATTCAGAGATCTTTGTTTTTTTGAACAAATGTTTTCATAAAACTTGCAGAGCATTGTCATTTACATGCGTGCACAAAACCACAGAGCTAGTGGTACAGATTTGAGTTGTGATTGCTATTGTGATCTCAGGTCCCTCTTTTTCTTTACGTTTTTACTTGTAAATGCAATTTATTCATATTATACAAAACTGAGAATATATTAGGGGAAATGGATTTTCAAAAATTGTTCTATACTTCATTACGATGGAATAATCTTCAAAATTTGACAGTACCTTTTGAAATTAAAATGCACATGCCCCTTTAAAAGAGCTTAGAAAAGAGAAAAAAAGTGTATTCTTAATTTTGGATGTAATAATTATTTATCTGGAAATTTCATCCAGAATGAACTGGAAAATAGTTACTTAATGAAATAAGGGGCTTGAGGAAGGTGCTTGGTTTAGTAAATAAATAAGCAAGCAAAAATTAATAACCTTAACATATAGTAGCATTAATCAGTTAGAAATTATAATAGAAAAATAATTTCATAATAAGCAAAAAAGTAAAATATATTGTGATCAGCTTAAACAAAATGTTTAAGATCTATTTGAAGAAAACTAGCATTTTAGTGAGGAAGGGATATTGTAAAAAGTGGTGTGACATTTTTACCGACTTCAGAGAGGAAGGGAGAGGGAGGGAGAGAGACAGAAACATCATCGATGAAAGAGAATCATGGATTGGCTGCCCCCACACGCCCCCCATGGGTCCAGGCATGTGCGTAATATGCTAATTAGACTGGGCAGCCCAACATCCGAAGCCAGGGCTGCAAGTTTTGAGGCAAGTGCTGCGGCTTAGAGGGCCGAGCCCCTTGCACAAATTTTGTGCATCGGGTTTCTAGTAAAATAATAAAAAAGAAAAGACCAGAAAATGTGCTATATAAAATACTATATATTAAAAAAAAACATAGAGTTAAAAGACAGTGGGCACAGTGGGAATAGTATACCAAATGGGGATGCTCTGAGTTTCAGGTAACAGTAAACCTTTACAGAAAATCCAGTGTGACTTAATAAGGAAGTTTGCAACCCAGTATAACTGGAAATGCAGTTAGGGCAAGTTTCTGATGGTGAGATCAATGACTCATTGATGGCATCAAGGACCCAGAATTGTTTGTCCCTTCTCTGTCATCATAATCATCACCTGCATTGCCAAGTTCCCTCTGGGTTGCAACATGGTTGCTTATAGCAAAGGCCATGTGCTTCCTTTCTCATGTTCACAAGCTATGGGATGTAAATCCAGCCTGGATTGTAATTCCTTCCCAGTCTGATTGAAACTGTGTAGGTCCTGTCCTCACCCCCATGAACCACTACACTGTGGACACGTTATGTTCTGATGGACTTAATGACCGGGATCCCCTGGAGGTGGGCATGGAAGGGCACTGAGAAGCAAAGTTCTGTTAGGAAGGGAGCAGATGATGTTGGGTATGCAACCAGCTTGTGTCGACTACTTAAGCATGTACAGGTTTGGTATATTTCACAGAACAAATGTAATTGAACAATAGAAATTCCCAGCAACACAGCAGTTTTTCTACCAGAGTAAAGTACAGGTGTTTAAAGTAGATTTTTTAAAAAGAAACACAGACCCGTTTTATTAACACTTGTTTGTGTTCTTAACAGAGACTCCGGGGATGTAGCAGCTCTCCGAGGGTGAGTTCAGCCTGGGGGCTTACTTTTGTTCTGTTCAGTTTGACGTTGTCCTATGGCCGCTCAGTGACTTATGTAGTTGGGTTTTCTCCTGTGATTCAGATCCAGGAAATTTAACATTCTGGGCACAAACACAAAAGTCATGAACATGGAAGAATCCAACAACGGCAGCCTCTCCGCAGAATTCAAACACTTGGTATGTGGGAGCAACCTTCTCCATGGGGCTCCGGCAGAGGGAGAGGGTTGGGGACGGTCTCACGTGACAGAGGTGCTCCTTGCTTTTCTTACAGACCCTGAGAGAGCAAAGATGTGGGAATGGGGGCCGAGCCAATTGTGACGTAAGTCTTTGGGGGATAAGAGCCAGCTGGGAGGGTTTTCTTTGAGAGGGAAAGGAAAAGGGCTGTTTCAGTTGTAGTCATTCAGAAAAGTTGCTGTAGGCCAAAAAGACCTGATCGGGAAGTCTCATCTGCCATCAGTTTTCTGGCTGGAGCATTTCCTTGATTGTCCCAAGAGTTAGCACCCCATTAAGTAGGAGTGGAAAGTCCCTCGCTGGGTCACCCACACCCATTTAGTAGCAACGAAGCCTGCCACCTGGCCTGGGGCTTTCCAAATTCCTCTTCCAGCCTCTGCCAGCTGACTTGTTTTTCTGACTGAGGAGGGATAGAAGGTTGTAACAGATATGAGTTAGTTTTAAAAAGAAAAAGAACAAAAGAGCAAAACCTACTTGTTCTTTATCCCCCCTTATTTCTTCCCTGCCACCCATTGATTCAGATTATTGGATTCTTAGTGTCAAGAATAAACTTTAGAAAAAAAATAGATAAATGTGACCAAAAAGTAGTTTTTAATCTTTAAAAAAAAATTGACACCCTGTTCTTTTTCTGATATTTATTCTGAGCAGTTTTTCTCTTTTCTCTAAAATGTAGCAGGCCTTAAAACACACACACACACACACACACACACACACACACACACAACTACAACAAAAATGAATTGAATTTAAAATATTTGACAGTAAGAGTGAAATAGTTTATGTGCAATGTTATGGAAAAATGTATGTGGCACATCTATTTAGATAAAAGCCAGAGCAAAATATTCTAAGTAGAATATTAGTATATTTATTTTAAAAACACATGACACTGTTTTATGTGTTCATGTATGCATTAAAAAATTCTAGAGGAATATACACTAAGCAATATTTATTTATGCTGCTATTTGTATCTGAGTCTACTAGATACTATTTCTGTAATAGTTGCATTTTAAACTGAACACATAATACTTTTATAATCAGAAAAAAATAATATTTTAAAAATGAATTGAAATTCTGTTTTTTAGAAGTCATTAGTAACTCTTGCTCAAAATAAGGTTGCTGGTGGGAGTATAAATTGTTAGAGTGCCTTTGGAAAACAATTTGGCATTATAAAAGGAGCATACTTTATAAACCAGCAATGTCGCTCCTGGGACTTAATAGAGAACCTTTGCACACGTGTACCAGGAGGCATGTACAAATGTCCCAACAGCCTGGTGATAAGCCCTGAATACAACTCACATTAATACCCATCACCACCAGAACAGGTAAATGATTTGTGTTGTAATCATATGATTGAATATTACAAAACAGTGAAAATGAATAAATTGCTGATGCACGCAACCACAAGGATGCCAGAAGTGAGTCACCAAATACATAGGGTATGATTCCACATGTGTAAGGTTCACAAACATCTAAAGTGAAACAATATTTACACTGTTTAGAGATATAATTATGGTCAAACCATAAAGAGGAACTAGGAAATCATAAACCCCAAAGACAAAATAGCAGTTACAGAGGGACAGGGATGGAGTTGGGAAAAGACGCCCAGAGAATCTCAGTGGTAATGGTCTTTTCTTTAAACTGGGTGGTGAATACACAGGCATTCATTGTTTTTATATTCTCTGTGCCTTACGCATTTTATAAATGACCTGTTTGTATCTCTATAATATTATAAAACTCAGTAAAAGATTAGGTTGAGGGTCTTAGCATTGGAGAGTCTTAGTGTTGAAGAGAGCATGTGCATGGAGTTGAATACCTGACAGTTTGTGCGCGGCCACCTGGTGGATTACTCATCTTAGTGCAGCCTGGCTGTGGCATGTTCCTCTCCTCCACTGTGGCTGTTGGTACCGAATGTCCTCCTTGATATCGTAGGCCTCCCTGATTGTGACCGAGGAGCTGCATCTGATCACCTTTGAGACTGAGGTGTATCACCAAGGCCTCAAGATTGACCTAGAGGTGAGTTCTGCCACAGAATGGGGATAGCGCTACGTGCAGGGGTGGTTCTGGACAAGGACTCCTAGATGGGATTTTTCCTACAGAAGGTGGAGTGATGATGACTCTTTGTAAGGCACTGCATTCAGTTCTGCTTATTTTTCTCCAAAAAAAAAAGAAAAGAAATCTTTAATATTCCATCTGAGAGTATAGTCTTGCTTGAATGCTTAGAATGTACCTGTATACTCAGCTTTAAGCAAACTTTATATAAGGTCTGTATGTAGAAATTGATGATAGCTAATTTCTCAAGGTTGGGCAAGAAGTCTTTAAAAAGCCAGTTATTTTAGTATATAGAAAATCATGGCCTCTGCCTTCTCTTTTCTGAACTTTCTTGATCTATAAATTAAAGACATACCTGCAAAGACAGGAATCCTAGTCTTTGATTTCCGGGACCTCTCTGTTTAATGGGCAGATACAGCTTCTATTCTTGAAGAATCTGTGGACTGTGAGTCCAGCTTTGAGCACATCAGGTTTTACAAGTTCTTAGTAATGTTCAGACAACAAGCTGAGTCCTGCGGCCTGTGTTCGGCATTCTTCCTTCTGGTGCAGTTTATGGGTGTGGTTTACGGCATGGCCTTTTATTCTGAACCCGGGGAGACACTGGTGAAGAGATTTTTGAAGCCATGAAGGCCTTCTACCTCCCTGCCCTCCACACCCAACCGACTCATCTCCCACTTACTCCACAGACCCACTCCCTGCCAGTGGTGGTGATTTCCAACATCTGTCAGATGCCAAATGCCTGGGCGTCCATTCTGTGGTATAACATGCTGACCAACAACCCCAAGGTTAGTGCCTTCTGACTCCCCACTGCCCAGAAGTGGTGGTGGCACCTCATGCAGGTCCTCAAGCACTGTCCTCATCTAAGTGAGCCAATGTGTTCTTTTCAATAGAACGTGAACTTTTTCACGAAGCCCCCGATTGGAACCTGGGATCAGGTGGCAGAGGTGCTAAGCTGGCAGTTCTCTTCCACCACGAAGCGAGGGTTGAGCATCGAGCAGTTGACTACGCTGGCAGAGAAACTCCTAGGTCAGCATTTTACCTCTTCTCCCTCCTGTGCTCCTCAGAAAAGGAACTGGCCTTCATTTAGGAAAGTTTACTGAGCAAGGCTCTGTGCCAGGGCCAGAAACCTGGGAAGTTAGGTGCAGAGGAAATTGGCCTCCTGGTGATCTTTCTTATGAGGCAGGAGGCAGATTTCTTTTCTCGTGGTGGCACCTCCCGCGCCCCCCAGTGCATGTTAGAAGGTGGAGCTATTGGCTTGATATCCCTGTCCATTTCTTCTATAAACCGTAGATAGAAAATTTTTTTGAAATTTTGTGTGCTACCTGGACTATCTTGTCTGTGTTTCCATTAAATGTGGCCCTAAAACCCCAGATGTCAGCTCATCTTGGTAAGAGCAGGGGAAGGACTTGGTACGTCACCTACCGCTCTGCTGGACTAAACAACAACTCAGGGCAGAGGGGGTCAAATGCTGGGGTTGGGTGTGTGCTTGCTTGCGGAAGCACATGCATGTCTGCACTTGGTGGCAACCTTCAAGGTTGGGCAAATACATGAAAATCAATGGTTTCATGGCCCATTGTAGGACAAGTGTATATGAGTGTGTGTTCTGTTTTAAGAATTAGATTTTGTCCTGGCTGGGTGGCTCAGTTGATTGGTTGGAGCGTTGTCCCAATACACTGGGGTTGCGGGTTCAATCTCTGGTCAAGGCATGCACTGGAGTCAACCAATAAATGCATGAATGGGTGGGACAATGGGTGGATGTTTCTCTTCTCTCTCTCTCTAAAATCAATAGGTAAAAAATTTAAAAAGAAATAAAGAAAGAAGATCTTCATTTAAAGCTGGAAATTACATTACTTTACTCTTTTTTTCCTTCAGGACCTGGTGTGAACTATTCAGGGTGTCAGATCACATGGGCTAAATTTTGCAAAGTAAGCAATCTTGTTAACTTCTTGCCGTCATGCCTTGGGAATAGTTGTGGGGGTTGATGCTCACGTGTGAGGTCACTGTGGAGGGTGCTGGGCCTGAAGGCCCTAGACTCTTAGTCCAGCGGCCAGTAGGACCTGCCTGAGGGTAGATAGGCCTGAGGATGTTGGTGGCGTTGAACCCCTAGAAAGGAAAAAGCTGGGATGGTGGTAGACTTAGCCTTCCCGTTATTCTTTTCTCCAGGAAAACATGGCTGGCAAGGGCTTCTCCTTCTGGGTCTGGCTGGACAATATCATTGACCTTGTGAAAAAGTACATTCTGGCCCTTTGGAATGAAGGGTATGTTAACATTCTTGTGTCTGGCAGAGTACACAGGTGTAACAAGTCATCTGCTGTCTCAGCAGGCCAGTGGCTGGGCCCCTTCCACCCTAACCTTGTTCCTCTTTGGCTCCAGGTACATAATGGGCTTTATCAGCAAGGAAAGAGAGAGGGCCATCTTGAGCACCAAGCCCCCAGGTACCTTCCTGCTGAGATTCAGTGAAAGCAGCAAAGAAGGAGGTGTCACCTTCACTTGGGTGGAGAAGGACATCAGTGGTAAGCTTGGCTGCTCCCTCCCACTCAATGGCTGCCACCATGGCTGCCGCTAGTTTCAAGCACTCACTGCCCCCTAGTGGGAAGAGATGGCCTTGCACCCCTGCCTGAGACTTGCAAAACACTTGGTTGATTTCTTTTCTCTAAATTTTTCCAGGTGAAGGATTAGTTTGCTAATTTTGTTTTGCTTGCTCCAGGGGTTAATAATTTCCTAGAAATTTGCAATTTAAGTTTTATTCTTTATCTCCTTTCTTCCCTACCCTGTTAATATGATGTTCATATAATGTATTGAACATCTTCGTAGCCTCTCCAGAAGCCTATTGAAGATATCGTCTGTGTCCGGAGACTGGGCAGGGTTCAGGGTCTTGAGTGCTAGGTTGACCTAAGTCTTTCCCTCTCAAGGAAAAATAAGTGAGGTTGTTTTCCTGAGGTTACCTAACCATAGGTTCCATTATCTTCCTTTCCCACATCTCATGACAGGTAAGACCCAGATCCAGTCGGTGGAACCATATACTAAGCAGCAGCTGAACAACATGTCATTCGCGGAAATCATCATGGGCTATAAGATCATGGATGCTACCAATATCCTGGTGTCTCCACTGGTCTATCTCTACCCCGACATTCCTAAGGAGGAGGCGTTTGGAAAGTATTGTCGGCCAGAGAGCCAGGAGCATCCTGAGTCTGACCCAGGTAGTTGTTGATTTTCCATTTCAGACATTTAATTCTGGGGAAAAGTTGGCACTTGTAGGGGTGAACAGGCAAGGGGGTGCCTAAGGAACCAGTGATCTTTATTTCTCTTGATGGGAAAGGACTTTGTAGTGAGTGCTGCTGGAGTGGCTAATGGGTTAGCGAGAGGAGAGGACTCAGAGTCCCTAGCATCTGCCCCCAGGGAGCGCTCCCCCATTCCCCCCCCCACACACACACATTCATTCCCAAAATGCTGCAAAGAGAAAGCAAGGACAGAATTCTTGAGTAACAGGATGCCCAGCAGGCAGAGTGCTTCTCACATAGTAGATGCTAGAAGGTTTGTGACCCAGACTTCAGTCTGGCGTGTTTCCTTTCCCCCGTCACTGAACAATGCAAGCAGTGGCGAGTGGGACGAAGAAAGGCTTTCTGCAGGAAATGAGTGTCAGCAGCATCGGAACATGGGTTGAAAGCAGAGTCGGGGAGAGCGGTGATTGAAAGGCAAGATGGTAACTGGTGGGAGGGGTGTGGAGTTGGTGTTTAGCATGTGTAGCTATTGGAAAGGAGATGTTCTTTAATGTGTTCATGTAAATTACATGCAACTTATTTTACACGAAACCGGTAACCTCCAGCGCTAACATCAGCGTGGAGGCAGAGCCTTCTAGTCTGTTCCCATCAGTGTTTGCTGCATTCAACTCTCTAGATTCTCTGTCTGGATCCTGATGAGGAAGCTATGATTTGCCATGCTTGTTTTTATTTCGCTTTTCTTCATCATGGAAACCAACAGTGGCTTAAAGTGATCCTTTGAGGTTAGCTGCCCTGCCCCAGTTGACTTTGCAAAGATGGTTTTTGTTCAGCCAGCTAACACACAAACCCACCAGCTTCCCTCCCACTTTTTCATAGGAATTCCCTCCGAAGAATTTCTTGGGGCTGAAATTTAAGCTACTTGACAATTGACTTTCCTTTTCCCCTCGTTCTGGTTTTGAGTTTTGTTCATACTCTAGAAGAGTTTAACTCTCACTTCCTGTCTGCTACTTATCTCTCTTTCCACCTTGAGCTTCAGTTGGGAGATCTCTTTATCAGGCCCTGTCACACTGCTCTTTGTTCCTCTGCCAAGGACAATTAGCCCGCGTGCTGGTATTTCGACTAATTATACTTTCAGGATGGATCCAAGTTCCCACTCTGAGGCCTGCCCTCCATAACCACCCACCCCTTCTGTGTGCCAGGGAAGCAAGGTCCTGTCCTGCTTGGAGACAATGGTGTTGCCTCAGGGGCAAGATGCCAATCACAAAAAAGGAACTAATTACTCGAGTGTTTTGCCTGCCTCCTGTGAGGCAAGTGTAAGCCCTGTGCAGGGAGGGGCTTGGTGTGTGTGAGCCTGGAGATGGGGCCCGGGGGGCAGGTAGGGGTGGACAGGAGGTGTGTGCAGCCCTTGTATTAAAATGGCGTCCCCAGGGAGATGAGTCTGTGACCATTTCCTTTCTGCTCCAGTCACGAAGGTGTAACTATCTCCCAGGGACCTGGGCATTCCAGGGACTCGTCCCTTCTCCTTGCTTCTCTGTAAGCCCACACAGTATTTCTTTACGGCTTTGGGAGAAGACCCTCTTAGAAATGACAAATCCCTTACCTTACAAATTGGATAAAATACATTTACAACCTTGTATGGAGCCACAAATTGGCTTTTAGTCTTAGCTCTCCTGCGCTTCTGCTGTTCCATTTCAGGATGAAGCTGTTTTGCTCAGCTAACCCAGATCATTGGTGAATTAAGATCCTTTTCTATCTGGGTGTCAGCTCCCCTCAGATCTGAGTAAAATGGATTTTTAAGACCCCAGAACCCTGTCTCAGTAGCTTTTTTGGATTCTGCACTGTATAAATATATTTCTTGGCCAAAAAAATAACTTAGGTGGCAGAGATATAAGGACCCCTTGGCAATGCTTTCTGTCAGATTGTCATTATACTTTCGGATTCCTCAGTTTCTATAAAAGTCCCTAGATTTATAAATGTGCTGCTCTCACCCCACCCCACCCTACTCCAAGCCTCTTACGTGACCTGTTCACCTGACACCTCCCCCCCCCCCCCCCAAATTTCATGCCAGTGTCTCCAAGGTTCCTTGACCTCTTTGTGTAAGTATTTAGTACCTAATATGCATTTTCCCCAATTCTCATATGTCTAACTATAGAAAAAGAATCAGCAGATGGGTACCTCCCTCACCCCCCTTCCATTTATTTTACACATAAGAAATGAAGGGACCTGCCCCAGGTGCTTTGTTATTGAATACACCCGGCCTCCTGTTTTCCAATCCAGAGTCCATTGTACTGCACCACAAACTCCTTCCCTCTATAGAGAGACTGCTTTTTCTGTGAGGTAGTTCTCCAGCTGGAGAGTTACTAATACCATCACCTAAGAGTGTAATAGAGGCAGATTAGGGCCGATAGGAAGGAAGGTGTGACCCTCAGTTTTGGAACCACAAGCATCAGAGGCTTCACGTTCTCTTAGAGATTCAGGGACAATGGTGACTGAGCAGGACACCCACATGCATCCACTCTGCTTCTGCATGTAGAGAAGTCATCCGAGTGACACGACCGGCCAGCATACTATCCTCAGACCACATCCAGGCAGTTACATGTTTACACAATCCAGGGAAAGCATGGACACAAGGCTGGCATTTATCTGGCTCAGGATGTGCTGAAAAATCTCATGGAACTTCTGAGCTGCAAGTGCCTAGAACATCAGATCATGTACAGAGAGGGAGGGCAGCCCTGAGGGAGATGACGGTTCAGAACAGTCTCTGCTCGAGGATGGAGTGAGTTTCAAGTCAGCCCAGCTGAGGCAGCCGCGTCCTCCTGCCCTGCACAGAGGGCACACTCAGTAAGGCCCGTTTTCCTCTTCCCAGGTGCTGCCCCCTACCTGAAGACCAAGTTTATCTGTGTGACACCGTAAGTGGCCTCCTGTCCCAATTTTGCCTCCATTTCTAATGTCCTCAGTCCCCCTGGAAATGGGACACTGGGTGAGAGTCACTCTGCGAGGGTTGGAAGGCCCTGGGCTGTGTTTAGTACTCACGGTGATCTTGTGCGTTCGAAAAGCTTGAGCTTTTATTTTTCTGTTGGAGACCAGAGTTTGATGGCTTGTGTGTGTGTGTTTTGTTCTTTTTTTTATTTTTTATTTTTTTTTTTATCCATTGTGTCTTGTCAACCCGGCCCTTTCCCCTCCCGCTGCTCCCCATTTCCTACAGAACGACCTGCAGCAATACCATTGACCTGCCGATGTCCCCCCGCACTTTAGATTCATTGATGCAGTTTGGAAATAATGGTGAAGGTGCTGAATCCTCAGCAGGAGGGCAGTTTGGTGAGTATTTGGAGGGCAGTCCGTCCCCCTTGTGTGATGGCCCGTGTGTGGAGCCAAGAGCTGGTCACGGGGATTGTAGAAGGGGCTCGAGAGCAGAAATGCACCGCGCCACGTGTGTAAGTGTAAATCTTCCGGGAGCCACATTAAAAACAGTGAAAGGAAACAGGTGAGGCTAATTTTAATATTTTCTATGTAGCCCAATAAATCCAATATGCTATGGTCTCAACGTGTAAGAAAAAAACGAGTGAGGTTTTTGCACTCTCTTTGAAACCTGCTGGGTGTTTTGCAGTCACAGCCCCTCTCCCTTTGGACTAGCCATTGTGACTCCAGGCTGCTGCCTTCCACAGAGCAGCCCTGGGTAATCTTTAAGCACATAGAGTTGGGAATGAGTTAAGGTAGGAGGGACTGTGCCCTTCCAGGGCAAGATCCCGAAGGGAGGAGAGTGAATCTGGGTTATCCAACCCTGTCTTGGCCACAAGGGGCAGGAGACTGGGTGGCAGAGGTGGCCTGAGCCTTGCTCCCCCGAAGGGCTAGGGTGTGTGCCTCGCCAGCTGCAGGGCCCAGGCAACTGACCAGCTCTCCCTGTCTGTCCCTCCAGAGTCCCTCACATTCGACATGGAGCTGACCTCAGAGTGCGCCACCTCCCCCATGTGAGGCGCCGAGGACCGAAGCTGCAGCGAGAGATGACGGAGGCACCTCTCTGTGTTCCACCCCTTAGACAGCCAAGCCCCAGAGCACCTGAACGCCTCACTCTGTGGTTCCAGATTTGTTTTAATCTCCTACTTCTGCTATCTCTGAGCAATCTGGGCACTGTTTTCAAATAGAGAAATGAATGAATGTGGGTGATATGCTTTTATCTAAATGCAAATAAGAAAGCGCTCTCTGAGACTGTGATCAGGGGATGTGGAAGGGGTGGCAAGAGGGAGGAAAGGAAACGTGCGTTTTTGTCCCCCTGCCCTCCTTTCTCAGCAGCTTGTTGTTGTTGTTTGACAAGTGCCTCCTGGTGCCAGCGGCATCCCTCTGCCTGTTTCTGTAAGCTCACGCCACAGGCTGCCTCCGGCTGCATCCCCCGGCACTGCACTTTTAACCTTGCTAACATCCAAATAATAGATAGGACTTTCAAAGCCCCTAGGTTTCTTTTAAAATTTGAAATAATAATAATAATAATAATTAAAAGGCAACAACACTGTATCAACATAGCCTTTTTTGTGTATTTACGAAAACTCAGTTAATAGCCTCTTTGGTGCTTCAGGCATTCAGCTTTCTTCAGGCTGACACTTTATACAAACCCTGAAACGGGCCTCAGGTCCAGCCCTTAAAGGACCTCGGGAGCTGTGGCGTAGCCTTTGATTTTGAAATAAGAAGGTTGAAGGAGAACCTAAACATTCTAGTCTTTTTTTAAATAAACAGAGTTTTTATTTTCCTTTTATGTGTTGGTCTGTTAGTAGGTGAGGCTGGCAGAGGGGTACTTAGAACTTTCCTCCCTTCCTTCTTGTACACGCGCTCCTATTCAGAGCCCGGTGTGGTTCTGTGGGTGCCTTATAAGGAATGGGGTGACTCTCTTTCCACCCCCCACCCCCCACCTCTCTTATGGCATGGCCCCTTGCAGTGTCCAAAGGTCCCTTGTCCTATTTGCTTTAGGAATCTGGTCTCGGGACCTCCTGGAGTAAGAGGGAGAGAGTTACAGGTTGAACATGACTCAGACAATGGGGCCCCACCCGAGGGTCTGGAAGAGCTCAGGGAATGTGGCTCTCACCCCCGTTTCTTGGTGATTGCCCACAGCACCTGTAATTACTTCTTCACTTGGTTAACCCCGGGGCAAAGGCTGGCTGATAAACTCAGTCTGTCCCTGTGTGAGGGAGCGTGCTCCCAGCTTCCCTCCCTTCCCCCCCTGGACACTGGTGACTCTCCCTGTGGAGGCCCCACAGCTGAGGCAGCACAGGTCGAGTTTACTGTGTCCTTGGGGACACTCGGAGTCGGGGAGGTGGTCTTTGCTACTGGGGCCCGCTCTGGCCCAAAGGCATGGTTACAGTGGGTGGTCCCAAGCCATCTGGGCCTGTGATGGTAGTGTCTGTGGAATGCTGTTTGGTCTACCCCAATTGGCCAGTTTCTGAATGAAGGCGCTGAAGGCTCTTACCCCCAGGGGCTGCCCTTGGCCGTCCCTGTCTTCCCGCCTAGAAACGGTTGACAGGTTGCACAGAGCTCTCCCTTCTCCAGCCGCTCTCCTGTTCGTAATAAGCTTGACTCATAACATGACAGATCGAGATCCGAGGGACCTGGAGCCAGGATCCGGCGTCTCCGGAGCAGGTGTTGTACAGTTCAGGGCTTCGAGTAGCTTTTGTATCTGGGTTTAACTCTGGTTGTGGCAAAGTTCTGAGAGAAGCTGAGACTTGGTCAGCCGCTCCCTTAAAGAACCAAGTCCTCCAGGACCTGCCTGCTCTCTCTCCTCTGTCTGCCCCCGCCCAGCCCCAGCCCAGCCGAGGGGGCCCCACTGATCGCTTAACCTACTTACACAGTGGTTTTAAGCTGTTGTCCTGGCCACTGCACCAAATTCCAATGTATACTTCATAGTGTAAAAATTTATATTATTGTGTGTGTGTTTTGTATATTGCTGTATCTACTTTAACTTCTAAAAATAAAAATATATAGGACCTGTCTGGCAGCTGTCTCTGGCTGGTGGAGGTTCTGCGGGAGCCTGGCCCTCAGGTCAGGCCTGTGTCTGGAGAGGAGGTGGCAGTCCTGCTCTCGGTCACCTTCGCCTCTCATTCCACTTTTGGGGCAACTGAGCAATCCTCCCCAACTTGTGTTAGTCACCAGCCTCCAGGTAAGGGTCAGTGGAAGAGCCAGGGGTCAGACTCCTTCACACAAAGGTGTCAGAATGGAGGCCTCCCTGCTCTCTCCGCCCCTCCCCCTCCCTCCAGGGGCCTTGCATGTTGGGCCTCCTGTCCGGGGTCTGATAAGCTACCTAGGGGGGGGGTTGGGATGGAGATCTCCCACCCCACCCCCAAGGCCTCCCCTTCCACAGTTGCTCCATTATCACTTTCTCTTCAGTCACTCAGTGGGGATGAACCAAACTAACCGGCTGCTGCTCTGGCCCGCAGTCAGCGGTGATAATTCCCAGACATGGGCACCCACTCGGCTCTCCCACCCCCTCCCCTGGTGCCGAGTCCCACGAGCAGATCTGAGCAGGAGTGAGAGATATGAGCCGCCTTCCCCTGCAGAGATGGAAGCGAGATTAGTTTGTTCAGGCGGGGCTGGCGGCTGCTTCCCTCCCCACCCGCCCCCAGCACCCTGCTCTGGGCCCCTGCACCTCCTGGGGCGGCTGCCAGCCCCTTCCCTCCTTTGAGCTCTGAAGAAATCTCATCAGCAGGCCTTTGCTCCCTCCTTCCCCCAGGGGCCCCAGCGACAGCCCCTGCACCTCGGAGACTCCCCTTCTGCTCTGACCGGCCTCCTCCTGGTCTCAGGCTGACCATTGGAGACACGGGGGCAGCGGGATGGTGCCATCTGCTGGTGTCTGGGAAGAGGGACGGTTGGGAGGCTGCCCTGTGACCCTGGCCCCAGAAGGGCTGTGAGTCACCGTGGCCCTGGCCCTCAGCTGCCAGCTTCTGCCAGCTTCAGGATTGCTCTCAGCGGCAGCCACACGTCTTCCCGCTCCTCGCGTCCCTCCCCCCAGTAATTCCTGCCTCATCCTTTCCCAAGACCTCGTGGCCTAGTTCTTTAGTCTGGTGAGAAGCACTGATAGTGTGCCCGGGAGGGGGGGGGGTCGGCACCCTAAAAACACAAGCTAAGGAGCGAAACGCCACCAGCTCCCAGGGCTCCCCAGTCAGGAGCCACACCAGCCAGTTTTATGAAAAAAAAAAAAAAATACTTTATTTCAAAACACTTCACAAGTGTGTGGCCTATGTACAAGGTACAAAAGACTCCCTCTTCTCACCCCCCTGTGCCTTCAGAGAGGTTTCAACCCGGGGCTCCCGCGACCCCACTGTCAGCTGCCCTTGGCTGCAGACCAGACAGCCTCGGAGGGCAGAGCCAGCGAGGCTGCGAGCCAGGTCTTCTCCCTCCACAGCGGGTTATGCAACCGTGGGGAGGCCTCTGCCAGGCCCGCCTCCCAGCAGCCTGCAAGCAGGGATCGGCTTTCACCCCTCACTCCAGATCCCAGCTGATTTGCTGCTGTCTCTCCATGCAGGCTCAGAGGGGATCAGCCCTGCAACACCAGGTCCTACACCTGCTTCTCCTCTCCTACCTCTCCTGTAAGCCACGGAGGCAAGGACAGGAGGCGGGGCCAGATGGAGGGGAGGGGGTGCTGGGTGAGAAGGAGGGGGAGCCTTGGCCGTGGCACCATGCTCTGGATGAGGGAGGCCAAGAAATGACACACTCGGAGCAGCTTTGGTGGGCCTGACTCAAATGACCCATTTCTGCGGCTGGGGACTTGGCCACGACCTACATAACAAGCTCTCAGCTCACAGAAAGTCTGGAGTCCATGTACACCCGATAAAGTAGAAAACACTGAACCCAATCTCCCTCCCAAGGGAAGAAGCGACAGACCCACACGGGTGCGTGAGAGCAGACACGCAGATATGCGCGCACACGGGCGTGCGTGCGCGCACGCACACACACTCGGGAGGCAAAGCTTCTAAGTCAGGAGTAAAGTTTAGAGATGCTGCCTGTCTCTAGTCCCCTCCGTAAACAGTTTCATACAAATAGCTGCTGAGCAGACAAGCCCCGGCGGCGGCGGCGGCCTCCTGTGCGATGGAAACGGCTCCGTCTCTCCCACCGCAGAGACGGGCCCGGGACTCTTGGACTACCTAGGACTGCGAAGGCGAGGTGGGCACAAATATACACACACGTAGGCACGCGTACATGTGCCGCCTGCAAGGGCACCACTATGCACAGCGACACGAAAATCACAAATGAACAGGAACCCTTCGTGTGGGCAGTATTCCTGAGAAGTGTGGGATTCACACGTTCAGGACAGCGAGCCTCTGGCAGAGCTGAAGAGCCCGGTCGGGGGGGACAGCCGGGGGTCCAGGCTCTCCATCGGCCGGCGCAGGAGTTCCTCCACGTGCCGGGCTACGTCCATGGTCTCGTCCAGGTCAAAGTCTCCGTCCTGGTCAAGGACGGGGTCAGGACTGGTGGAGAGACGGGGCGGGGGGGGGGGGGGGGATGTCAGAGGGAGCTGGCTGGTCTCACTGCCTCCAGCTCTCGGGGGGGCAGTCCCCAGCCTGCTCCCCACTCAGACCAGCTCTGGCTAGACCCTTGCACCCCAAGGTGTGGTCACTGGCTCTTTGGGCGGCAGCCCAGTCTCATCTCGCACTGCCTCCCTCAGGGAGAGCAGAGGATTCCTTTTCCTCGCCCCGCCCTCGGCTGTCAAGGGAGGTGGTTGACGCAGTGAACTCTGTCCAGCTGCGCCGCGATCCCATTAAATCCCAGGACCATCCCCGGAGCACCTACGAGCACCTGGGCCTTGCCGCCACATTACTCCAATCCTCCCGGCCACCTGTACGGTGGGCATTTACTCAGCTTTACCGAGGAGGAAGTGAGGCTTGACCATGTCCAGGACCTTGCTCAGGGCCACCTGGTTGGCGTCCCCCGCCCCCCAAGCCTGCGGGGGTCCCACTACAGCTTGAGCCTCCCAGGCAACCAGACATCCAGCC